TTGCTCAACGCGTGCGACGATGCGCTGGAGGAGCCCGACACGGCGGAGGGCATCGCGGCGGTCGACGCGGGCTGGTCGGCGGCGCAGGCCGAGGAGCTGGCGCGGCTGGTGGTCGGGCTGGCTCTCGTGAGGAAGAAGAGGCGGATGCCGCTCGCAGACGCATTGCCGCGGCTGGAGGCGATAGTCGGAGCGGCGGTGGAGGTGGAGGAGACGGCTGGGGCCGAGGAGCGCCAGTGCGACCTCTGCTACGACGCGCCGCGCTCGGTCCGCTTCGCGTGCGGCCACGCGCTGTACTGCGAGACATGTGCGCCGCGCGTGCTGGAGCGCGACACCAACTGCCCGACCTGCCGCCAGCCGGCGCTACCCATCGTCGCAACTGGGACACAGGTGGCGGCGCAGGCGACGTTTGTCCACCAGCCGCCCTCGCGCCCCGTGCCCCAGGCTCAGCCTGCAGGCGCCACGGCGGCGGTCGGTGGGCGAGGTGGGCGAGGCGGGCGCGGTGGGCGAGGGGGGCGTGGACGTGGCGGGCGGGGCGGGCGGGGCGTGGGGCGCGGCGGCTCTGCTTAGTGAGCCGTGAGGGTCCGCCCGCATGCAGTATGTGCGAGTAGGCCCGTCGAAGCGCACTTGGAGAGCACTTGTAGGTGAAGCACAATCTCCTAAAATTCTTTTTGGTCTGTGGTGTACCTGTGTTAGTGCCAGTGCGCGCCAGTCCCGTGCCGCCCGCAGTGTAAAAGAAAGAAAGAAAACAGCGGACAACCCAAGGGAGGGATGGGAGGACGGCACGCCGCCACCACACAGGGATTTTAGGGGAGAAGTGTGGTGCTAGCCGTCGCCCACCCTCGGGCGTCTACCACTTCCTATCTCTCTTCGCAGTTTCTCACCAATTCTCGCAGCGACCTCTTCATGCCACCTCGCGTTCCGTGACCAGTGTCGTGCGAGGGAGTTTTCTTGTAAAATTCTTTTGTGCGAGGGAGCTTTGTCGTAAAATTCTTTGGCCCAGCAGTGCCAAAGAATTCTTAAAATACAAGCCTCTCTCACAGCACACTGGCACGACAAAGAAGAAGCAGGCGTCAGAGACCCGTGTTATGGCCCTGCGAACGCGCACCCCCCCCACGGTCGAGGAAGAGGGTGCGTTCTGCAGTTAAGGGGTAACCCGGTACACGGAACTTATCCCTCGGAGACGCTGCAACGACTCCTGCCCACTGCCGCTCTCCTGGAGGCAGTGCGAGCAGCGCCGCCGCAGGTGACTCTGTGATATCCTCCAGCAGCCTCCTATCCTCGCTGTCGCGGCTGCTGGCATGCAGCACGGGCTGAGCGCCGACAACGGACGAGCTGACGCTGTGCACGCGGGAGAGCGGCAGCGTCGACAGCGTGAGCAGCAAGAGGATCGGGGCGACGCGTGCGGAGAAGTGGCTTGCGACCGAGGCCGTGCCTGCGGCCCGCGCTATTTCAGTAGCGCCGCCTCCTGCGTGTAGCGGTGCTGCGGTCGGGACACGCTTCGCGAGCATTCGACTACGAGCTCCTCGGCGCCGGCCGGAAAGACCTGCCCGAAAACGACAACAAGGGATTCGGCTGCATCGCCACTGGGTACGAAGACCGCACGCACACCCTGATAAATTTACCTCTGAACAATCAATCCCCCCTCGCTCGCAGCTGCGCACGCACCGGCGGCTGCTGGCGGCACCGCTTGTCGACTGGGGCGAGCTTGAGGCGGGAGGGTACGCGCCCTCGCCTGGGGTCAGTCAGGAGAGCGCAGCGTAGGAGCCGTCCGCCGCCCGACAATGACAACCCGGCAGGCCATGCCAGGAGCCGGATCGCGCGAGCCACGCGGAGCGCGTGCTCGGCCGACCCCCCGACATCCAGCGACGGGCTAGGTAGGTAGGTAGAAAGGTGAAGAACAGCCAGGCTCGGACTGGACACCAACGCGGTATGGGTGGACGCTACGGGCTCACAACCAGGAAAAAAATGATATCTGAAACACGATGAATCCTTCCTTGCCGCTGCCATTCCGAACCATATGATGCTCGCTACGCTCGTTCTCGGTGCTCCCGTCGTCAACGTGTCTTCGTCAGTCGTCATTCTGCGAGGGCCGAGGCGTCGAGAGGCGCGCGCTCGAGACCGCGGGAGCCGGGAGGGTGTAAGCCGCTCCCGCCGCGCCCGCGGCGACGGCCTGGGGGTGGGGCGGGCGGCGCAAGTGCGCTGCGCTCTTCAGCATGCGTGTTCGCCTCTTCCCACTCCCGGATCTGCCGGCGCAGCGTGTGGTTGGGAGCGAGGAATTTTGCTCTTCAGTGCCGCCACTTGGAGCACTTGGAGTGCAGTCATCAACCTCACATCCAGGAAAAAGAAAGAAAGAAAACAGACAACCCGAGGGAGCGATGGGAAGAACAACCCAAGGGAGGGATGGGAAGACGGCACGCCGCCACCACACAGGGATTTTAAGGAGAGGAGTGTGGTGCGCTAGCCGTCGCCCACAACCCCTTGGAGCACTTGGAGTGCAGTCGGCAACCTCACACCCAGGACCGAAAAGAAAGAAAGAAAGAAAACACACAACCCAAGGGAGGGATGGGATGGGAGAACGGCACGCCGCCACCACACAGGGATTTTAAGGAGAGGAGTGTGATGCGCTAGCCGTCGCCCACCCTGGGGAGTCTGCCTCTTCGTATCTCACCCAGGACCGAGCTAAAACTTGATTTTCCCGCGAGATTTTTTCGGCAACGGCACGAGGCACGCGCCCGCCGCCAGCGCCCCGCCGGGCGCCTTCGGCCAAAAAAGGCAGCTCGGCTGGCTCAGTGTCACCAGACTGAGGTCCCGCCTGCCGCGCTCGCAGGGAATCTCGCGGCTAGAATGGGTTGCGGAGGCTCGAAGCCCACTGACATGCGGGGCACAACATCGGCCTCCGGCCCTGCATCGACTGCGACACCGGAGCTGGAAAAGCTGCCGGTGGAGCCTGCGGGTGCTGCGCGGTTGCAGGGTAACATTGGGCAAACTAAGTGCAGGTTCAACGAAAACTGCCACATGGAGCCGTCGAGGCTTCGGAGGTAGCTCTCTCATCCACGACTGTGCCGAAGAATTGGGGGTCCTACGGCTTTACTCTCTCTCAAGAACGACCGGACTGCGGACTCTGTGAGATTTTTTGTGATATGGTAATATACTCTCATCAGTCCACGTCCTCGATGAGCTCCTCCGGCAGCGCCAGCGGCGCTTGCGGCTCGCCGGACGTGCCGCCGCCGGAAGCTGAGGGCGAGTCCACCCTCTCCGCCGCGCCGCTCTCCCCCGCGGTGCTGCGCGCGCCGTGCTGGTCCGGTTCGGCCGGCGGCGGTGGCCCTGCGGCGGCCGGTGGCGGTGGCCCTTCGTCGGCAAGCGGCGGTGGGTGCCCTGCGGCCCCCCCTCCTTGCCCTCCGCCCTCCCCTTGCACGGTGGCCTGGGCCACGGAGGAGGGGAGGCCGGCCGGGGGCTGCTCTTGCGGCGGCCTCGCCCGGACCATGAAGCTGCACCCGGCCGCCCCGCCGCCCGCCCCGCCGCCTGAGACCGCGCACCACCAGAAACGGCGGTCCCACGCGGCTAGCTGTCGGCAGTCGCAGAGCGGCGACTGCGCGTGCGGCGGCGGAGGCACGCGAGCCTGCGAAGAGGTGCGGCGCACGCGTCTTCGCACGGGGTGTGTGTGGGACAAGGGCAAGACTCCCCCCCTCCCCCCCCCAACGTCTTTCCTAAGGCAAGGGCCGCCACGGCATCTCGAGTGCACAGTCCGGTGCAGCGGGTGCGCGCGTGATTGTGCGCGCGTGTGCGCGTGTGCGTGCGTGCGTGCGTGCGTGCGTCGTGCGTGCGTCATCGCGCGCCTCGTACCCGCAGCCCTGCCCGTCTGCGGCCGCGCACCAGTAGCGCTGCCGCTCCCATACCGCGGGCACGCCGCAGCGGCAAGCCGGCGGCGGCGCCGGCGGCGGCTGGATCGAGTCTCGCAGCACCAGCGCTGAGCGCCGCCGCACCTTGCGCTCAGCTCCGCCCTCGCGCGCCTCGCCGCGCACGGCGGAGCAGTGCCTGAGGCGAGGTGGGGGTGAGGCGAGGTGGGGTGAGGCGAGGAGGGGTGAGGAGGGGTGAGGAGGGGTGAGGCGAGGGAGCACGTCTCCGCACGCTCTTGTGAGGCGAGGGCTCGGGCTGCCCCTCGCATCTCCACGCTCTGAGACGGGAGCGACACGGCATGCAGAGTGCAACGGCCCGGTGCGCGCGGGTGAGCGGTGGTGTGCGCGTGTGCGTGTGTGTGCGTGTGTGCGAGAGGGGGGAGAAGAGTGCGCGGTGCTTGTGTGTCGTGTCGGTGGGAGTGTCGGTGAGAGTGAGTGCCTCGCCCGGTCGATCTTCAGCCCTGTCGAGGAAGTGTCTAGGAAGTGTCTAGGAAGTGTCTAGGAAGAGTCAGGAGGTGCCTCGCTCGGTGGATCGTCAGCCCGTGCAGCCTCTCGAAGGCGGAGCCGCAGTCGACGCACTCGAAGAGGCCGGCGGCGTTCGGCGGGGGCGGCGCCGGCTTGGCGCAGTGTCGGCGTTGTCCCAGTCGGATGTATCCCGGCGCACGCGATGATGTTCTCCGTTTAAGAGATTATCCTGGAGGCAGGCGGCTCGCGGCAGCAGGCTGCTACACCAGAGCGGGTGGCCGCTGTCGGCGCTGCGGCCGGCGGCGTCGCCACCTTGTTCCATGATGCCGTCATCGTAGGGCCCCGCCCCATATGCTGTACCGAAAGTCTGTGCAGCTGTGAACAGCAGCTCCTAGGTCCCCGCCCCTTCCCTCAGTTCAATCCCCGAGAGGAGAGGCAGAGCCTCTGGCGCGATGAGAGCACCCGCGATCCGCAATTCCCTGCGCGCCTTGCGTAGGGCCACAGCCCCTGGGCCAGCTGCTGTGGGAACCACCTCAAGCCACGCTTCATTATAGGTGCAGGTGTACACCTTGTACCGACACAGAGGTAGGCGCGCAGCGCCCACACCCTCTACCTAGGTGTGTGAGTGAGTGCTATACCTTAGCGCACCTTATACCGAGGTACCCTCCACATGTCCACACCGGTACCTGGGGTACTCTCGAGACGTTCACACCGGCGGTGCGCGCGCGAATAAGGTGTGCACCGCCCGTCGCGCGAAACGCAACACACAGCTCTCATGGCACCCAAGAAGCCCACCTCCACGCAGAGCACGACGCTCCAGACCATGGGCATGGACGTGATCAAGCGGTACCCGGGCACCAAGGCGTCCTCCACGTCGAAGAACCACGCGGAGTTCACCCGTCTCGAGGAGGTGTGGGCTACGAGTATGGGCGGCGGCGTCGGGGGCGGTGGCGGTGACGGTGCGGAAGAGGTGCGCCTGCATCTCCCCCGCGTGCTCGAGCGGCACGCGCGAGATGGAGGGCTCGTTGCCGCGCGCTTGGTGGTTGAAGGTGGTCGACGGCTTGCACGCGAAGCGGCCGTAGAGCTCGGCGGCCTGCCGGCCGAGCAGCGGCGTAAGCCGCTCGAGCACCTTGAGCTTGTCCTCCTGCGCCTTCACCTGCGCCATGATGATTTCGGCGCGCGCCTCCGCGTCGAAGCCCACGCCGACGCCGTTGACCTTGAGCGCGCCGCGCACCACCGTCGGATACTTGCGCACGCCCTCGTGCATCGCAATGTTTTTTTTTGTTTTGATCTCCGACGGCTTTGCCTGACTGACTCCATCAAGGCAGTTTTGCACTTTCCGCTGCCTCTCGCGCTTGCCCCGCCGTACCGCGCCTCCGATGAAGCCGCAAGCTACACGCCTGGATCCCCGCGACGCATATTGCACACGGAACCCGACCCGCCCGCACCGCTCCCGCCGTGCGATGCGCCCTCTCGCTCGCCGCGCGAGCTGTACCCCTCTCGACCTTGCACCGCCTGATCCCTCCCGCTCGCGTTGCCGCCGCTGCCATTGAGTAGCCGGGAGACGCGTCCGCTGCTGTCCATCGCCACCCTTGCTCCGCGTTAGCCCGCACAAGCGCATCCCATTTTATGCTGCTGACTTCGCCCACCGTCGCCTGCGCGCCCGCAGATCCCAAACAACGTGAGCGAGGGGGAGCCGCCGCGGCATCTTGCGAGCTGGACCGCTTCTGCTGCGCGTGCAGGCGAAGCATAATGCAGTCCGCACGCCCCACGCTGGCGCTTAAGTTGGCACTGGCCATGTGCCTTCCCGGTTGCGTTGAAGCGTACGCAGCAGTGCCAGAGGCGTGGCGGCCCACGCCGTCCACGCCCTCCACGCCGCCGATGCCAACGCCTCCTCCTCCTCCTCCGCCGCCAACATCGCCGCCAACTTCCCCTCCGCCGCCTCCGCCGCCAAGCCCCCCGCCACCCGCAACCCCGTGCACTCTGGAGCAACTCAAGCAACGCCCGAAAGGCGGCGACAAGATTCGATGTAACGGCAGAACGCTCAAGGCCGACGAACTCAACCTGGACGACTTTTATCTCTCTTACGGCGACTTTGAAGGAACGCGATTTGAGGGGGAATCCATCACGATGAGGGGCGTGCGGCTGCAAGGAGCAAATTTGCAAGGAGCCCGATTCTCAGCCAGAGGCGACATCGATTTGGTCGGAGCAAACCTCAGCCACGCCAATCTCACACACGCCAACCTTACTGCGGGCAACAGTGACGACGGCGGCTCCGTCGTTATGGTGGACGCAGACCTAAGCCACGCCAACTTCGCACAGGCCACGCTCACTGCGGGCAACGGTGGTGAGGACGGCGGCTCCGTCTACATGGAGGACGCAGACCTAAGCCACGCCAACTTTGCACAGGCCACGCTCACTGCGGGCAATGGCGGTGAAGACGGCGGCTACGTCTACATGGACGACGCAGACCTAAGCCACGCCAACTTTGCACAGGCCACGCTCACTGCAGGCAACGGCAGTGAAGACGGCGGCTCCGTCGTCATGGAGGACGCAGACCTAAGCCACGCCAACTTCGCACAGGCCACGCTCACTGCGGGCAACGGTGGTGAGGACGGCGCATGGGACGGCGGCTCCGTCTACATGGTGGACGCAGACCTAAGCCACGCCAACTTCGCACAGGCCACGCTCACTGCGGGCAATGGCGGTGAAGACGGCGGCTCCGTCTACATGGAGGACGCAGACCTAAGCCACGCCAACTTCGCACAGGCCACGCTCACTGCGGGCAACGGCAGTGAAGACGGCGGCTCCGTCGTCATGGAGGTCGCAGACCTAAGCCACGCCAACTTTGCACAGGCCACGCTCACTGCGGGCAACGGCGGTGAAGACGGCGGCTCCGTCTACATGGACGACGCAGACCTAAGCCACGCCAACTTCGCACAGGCCACGCTCACTGCGGGCAATGGCGGTGAAGACGGCGGCTCCGTCTACATGGAGGACGCAGACCTAAGCCACGCCAACTTCGCACAGGCCACGCTCACTGCGGGCAATGGCGGTGAAGACGGCGGCTCCGTCTACATGGAGGACGCAGACCTAAGCCACGCCAACTTCGCACAGGCCACGCTCACTGCCGGTGATGGCGACGTCGCTGGCGGCGACGTCGACTTTACAGGCGCAGACCTGCGCAACGCCAGCTTTGTGAAGGCGCGAGTCTCGCCTGGCGACCCTGATGGTGGTATCATCTGGACCGACGCGGATCGCAAAGACGCAAACCTTACAGGAGTGATTTGGCCGCCTTCGCCGCCTTCGCCGCCGCCGTCGCCGCCACCGTCGCCGCCTTCGCCGCCGCCACCGCCTGCTTCGCCGCCGCCACCAGCTTCGCCGCCGCCACCGCCTGCTTCGCCGCCGCCCCCGGCTTCGCCGCCGACACCCCCGGCTTCGCCGCTGCCCCCGGCTTCGCCGCCGCCACCGCCATTGTTCCCAGCATTCGTTGTCGGCAAGGGCTATTGCCGCGATTCGACGATGTCAAGGATTGATGGCAGTGAGGGTTTTTATGAGTGCCGGTCCAGCTATTATGAGTGCATGGCGCTCTGCCAAGGCGACGCGAGCTGCATCGCCGTTGCAATCAGTGCAAGCAGCTATTATCACCGCTACTATGGTTGCAAGGCGACTGAAGTGCATTGCGTTCGCTACATCTCCCACTCTGGTCAGGTAGCGGCAGCAGTGTGGCCGTACTCTGACTACACTTGCTACTCTCTGCCAAAAGCCTAGCCGCCTTCACGTTGAGGGGAGGAGAGGGTGCAAGGGCGGCCGCCATAGGGGACGGAGGCACCGTGAGTTGCTGGGATATGTTGCTCAGACCCTGGCGCACTACAAGTGCGTGTGTTGGTGCGTTTGCGTGCGTGTGTTGTATCGGCGGCGGTGTTTGCCGTTGACGCCCGTTTGTGTGCGCCGCTTGCGGTGTGCTCATTGTGGTGAGTGTCCGCCCGGGGGCGTTCTATCCATCTTTAATAAAAAATCTTGCGGGCCTCAGCGGCCCTAGTGCCACCAGCAAGCAGCCGGCTGCATGGGGCGAAAGGGTGCGGGCCAAGCACGGGCGAAAAATTCTTTTGTGGCGTGGCAGACGGTGAACGAGCTAGCGTGCGGGGAGAGCGGCATTGTGCACGGTGCGGAATGCATTGCCGTTCTTAACGGAGTCGCTTAGGCGGCTCCGGTGGTGAGCCGGTGTGTGTGCCAGTCCGCGCCAGTCCGCGCCCTTGTCGTGCCAGTGTGCTGTGAGAGAGGCTCGTATTTTAAGAATTCTTTTGTTCGCGAAGTATCCCTTGTGCAAGCTCTCGCCTGGGCCTTCGGATCCTTCTCGACAGCAGTGGCGGCGGGAGATGGACTTCGCCGCCGCTCCACCTGCACGACCAGCGGCGGCGGACGCAGCGAGCGTCGGGACTCCGTCCCAGCAGACGAAGTCTTCCTCGTGGGCTCCACGGCCCGGATCGCGAGAGCGGCTCAGGTCCCAGATCGAATCTCGGACCCACAGATTCTAGATTCCTTTAGATTCCCCGGATTCCCGCAACAACGATCTCTTAGCGGCGGCAAACAGAGGCGCAACTCTGCCAGCAGCGAGGAGGCTCCTGCTGCTCAGCTACCGAGGCCTGGTGGCGTCGGCTGCTGCGTGGAGAAGACAGCAGCCTTGTCCGACCTCAAAACATGCACAACAAGCGGGATTTGTGACTCTGTCCTCGATTCTTCACGGACGCGCTCGCTTTGTCGCAAGGGTCACCGGTGCAAGCCGTGTGGACGCCCAGAATAGCCTCCCCTGGCTTAGCTAGAGTGAGAGATATTGTGAACATGGCCAGCCTCTACAATATATACACTGACACTTTACCTCCCAGAGCTCGTCTCGGTCCGCCACGGCCATCCTCAGCCTCCGGAGGGCCCCCGGCCGCGGCGCGGTGCGGCGGCGTCACAAATCCGACGTCAGTTCACCGGGACGCGATCGGGCGATCTGAAGTCCAACTAGGCGTATGGATTGCCCGCCCAGGGCTATCACCTGGACCCCTCAATGGACGCCTGCGGTGCCGCCCCCACGAGGTGTTGTTCACACCTGTCCAACCATTCATGCAGCAGGAACGCGCTGTGTGTGGCTGGCAGCAAACTCAAATGACGACGGGTTGCAGCCTCGTAGCAACGGCAACATTGTGCATGAGGAAGGCTGATAAAAGTAGCACCAGCCACACAACCAACAGCTTCTGGAGAGTATGCGGAGCGCAAGCAGCCGGTGATCAAAGGCGTGTTGCTGTCGGTGGCAGATTGCCAAAGGGACGCCGGCGCTTCGGTGCGTGGCTTCGGGGTGGTCACAATTTTCCACCGCTCAACTTGGAGGCAGTGTGTCTAGTAGCGTGCTACACCTATGACGGCGGACCTCACTGGGGCGCCGACGTGCGACGACCGTCTGGGATCGAAAGACGAAACCGCGTCCCAGGAGCTCGTGCAGAGCGCGCTCCAGAGCTCTGTGGCGGAAAATTTGAGGGGAACGTGGTGGCTTCCCACCGCCTCTGTATGTGCCCAATAAAGTGCTAACACGATCCTCGGGCAGCAGGGGGTATGTGGCGAGCGCACGGAGGCACAGTTAGGGGCTGTGCGACCTATGCGGTCTGCTGAACGGCGTGAGAGCGATTGAAACGACACGCCACCTCGCCCTCGAATGTCCATACACCACACTGACCCTCGAGGCGGTATTCCGCGCAGTCCTGGAAGGACGATCCTGGACGAAGCCGTGCTAGAGGAAGTCCGGGGCATGGGGAGGGAGCAGCTAGTCCACGAATACCGCCGCCTCTGCATCACCGGTTTCCGTCTGACCACGGGCAGAGGACAGATGGCTGAGGGGCGCATTGGGGCGACGCCGACTCGCGTTATTATGCTTGAGACACTTGCAGGCATCGTACGAAGGCGCCACCGGAACGCCCTCCTCGCGCCGAACGACACGCCGGACGTGCGAGTTGACACGATTTACAACGAGGCGCGCCGAGCTCTAATCCGGACTTACGCCCACACCCGCCGCCGAGCCCTCGACGAGGAGAAGGAGATTCGCCTCCGAATCCCGGGCTGGCAGCCGTCGCCAGGGGAGGGGCCTGTTGCGGAGTGGGAGACGGAGTGGCTCGCCTCGGGTTTCTTTTCCAGCGAAGGCGAGTGCGAGCTCCCCGAGACGCTCGGATCTGTCCGAGGGGTGGCGGCAAACGGCTGCGCGGTGAGCACAGTCGCACTCCTCTGTGT